TTCCACTTTATTATCGCTTTCTGGCCCACGTGTGATAACGTCCACACAACAATGAAAGCAGAAACATTGGGAAATTCTGAAGGTAACTGAACCAAGCTGCACTTTTCCCTATGACTCCTAGGGCCTAAGCAGATTGCCAGAAATAGTGCACATTAATTTGAGGCACTGCCCTGGCTCAATGCTAAGGAATCATGGGAACTGTAATTTATTGTGGCACCAGAGCTCTCTGACAGAGAAGGCTCAATATCTCAGAAAAAAATAAAATTCCCATGATTCCCTAGCACTGAGCCAGGGCAGTGCCTCAATTTAATGTGCACTATTTCTGGCAGTCTGCTTAGGCCCCTAGTTAGTGAGGGTTCAGGAGCAATTATACCAGTTACAACATTGGTAATCTGGCCCTGCCAGCAGCTAGTAATGCCACTTTTCTGCTCAGCTCTTACACCATCAGGAATTAAAGAAATAGTCCCAACAGCAGTGAGGTCTGAACCATAAATCTAGCTTTACAACCATGGGAGTTTCTCTGAGGCTTGAGAGAGCGTGGCATGGAGAAGCTTGTTCCACAACTCCCTAACTGTTAGACAAGTTTTGTGCATGAAGACATAGATGGGGAGATTATCAGTTGCCAGTTAGAGTGGTACTGGGGCAAATATGGGGAGAAAGTGGGACAGAAGTCTCTGTGTGGTATGTCTATGTGTGTGTGAGAGAGTTTTCTGTAGAGAGAGGCACTAGATTTGTAACCCTGCCTAGAGAGCCAGCGTGGCATAGTGGTCTGAGTGCTGGACTTTGACTCTGGAGACCAGGGTTCAGTTCCCAGCTCAGCCATATAAACCCACTGGGTGACCTTGGGCAAGTCACAGTCTCTCAGCCTCAGAGGAAGGTAATGGATAACCTCCTCTAAATAAATCTTGCCAAGAAAGCCCCATGATAGGTTCCCCGTAGGGTAGCCATAAGTCAGAAATGACTTGAAGGCACACAACAACAACTAGAGATCCAGAGAAGCACAATTTGGCCTTTAACCATACACTTTAGGCTTAAGACATAAGAAAGCACACCTACCAAGCTGAAAATCTATGTGAAACAGTACAGGGATATTACTGTTGATCCAGAGTCTGGAAATGTTACTTTGATTGGACAACATTTCCCAGAATCCCCCAGTCAATATGATCACTGTTTGTAGTAGCTAGGGAATCCTAGCAGCTGTCGTCCACAAAGCTCTGGCTTGTGCTATCTCTGTTCTTTCTCCCTCTCCTTTCCCCTCAGGCCCATTCACAATATAATACAGAATTATATTATTATCCTACTTCAAGTGCTATGGTTCCATCCTGTGGAACCCTTTTATTTGGTGAGGCACTGGACCACTCTGACTAAGCATTTTAAATGCCCCTCCCTCAACTGCAAATCCCAGGATTCCATAGAACAGAACCATGGTAGTTAAAGTGGAATTATAGTGCTAAAGTCCTGTAGTATATAAATGTGCCTCTCGTCTTAATTTCTCCTTTGTGTCAAAAACAAATTGGTTTCTAATCCAGACTGGCAGCGCTGGCTAAATTAACAGGTTTATAAAGTTGTTATGGAAACGTGAGTGCTGTGGTTAGATTTATTTACAGAAAGTTTAAAGACTGCTGTAAGGAATAAAATAAACATCACACTCATTTGTGTCATGGCTCTCAGCGATTTGATAAGTGACTTTTGAGCAAATATAACTGGTGTGATTAGTTCCGAACATGCATGTACATGCAGAAAAACATGTTCACACTTGCCTTGATCAATACCCAGTTTGCTGGTTTAATTAAGTTTGTGAGCTAGAGAAGAGAACATTTTTCCTATTCAGCTCAGCCTGGGAAACAAACTCTATTCATTGTTGCTCAGACTTCTCTTCTGCCTGCTTGAGCCAGTATTTTTCAGGCTGCCTCTTGTTTTGGAAGCAAAATGTGTCTAGTTAAGCTGGATATTTACAATATCCTCAAATCTAGTTTTCTTTTGGGCTCCAATTCAGATAAGATTTGCATGTTGCTTAATAAAGGGAAAAAACATTTGGGAATGTGCTAACAATAAATTTTTTCAAAATGAGGATTTTTGTTGCCTTTGAAGGACTTTGCGAATCTTTTGATATCTCATCTGAAGACACAGTGAAAGATGTAAAGCTAATGATAAAGGTAAGACCATGGCCATTAGCCAAATTGCTTTATAATCTTGATTTTCAGTACATGTGAAAGTTGGAATCAGATAATAGTCACTGCTAAAATTAAATCACTCAGGAAAATCTTTCATGCATGCTGCAGCTTTTTATAAAATGAGGAGCTTGGCTTTCATTGAATCTTTGTTACTGGACTTTATCACACTCACTTTTGTTAATGATCTGGGAATGGGCTGGGGACATGTGTGAACATGCGTGACCGAGAGAAAATGGATTTTATCACACTCAAAACAGTCGGCAAGCCATCCCCATTCTGTCACCCAGCCACAACCCGTACCTGAGCCAAACTGAGCTGGCCGATTTTGCTCAGCTGGAAAGCTTCCGTCCTTGCAAAATCGGCCGAGCAACGGCATGGGGATGGCTTGCCGACTGTTTTGAGTGCAATAAAATCTGTTTTCCCTCGGTCATGCGTGTCCCCAGCCCATGCCCGAATCATTAACAAAAGTGAGTGCGATAAACTCCACTGTCTTTCATTTTAAGCTCTTAGGTTTAAACTGATATGAATTGATTATATTAAAGTGCCCCTGGGTTCTGTTTGATCATCTGAATGGACTTCTTTTTCCTCATCTAACTTATTTCCCCTTGACATCTAGGCTCAATTAACATTCAAGTATACCTAGTTTCAGTGAACATTTTCAAGTATACCTATATTTTAATGAGAGAGAACAAGTTTGTTTTGTCTGGGTGGGAGGATGTGGACAGAAAAATCTAAATAATTGGCAACATACGGTAATCCTTTGCATGTATACTCAAAAATAATACCCACTTAATTAAGTAGCACTTATTGTGAATGATATTCAAATATACTTTTATTCCATACTCCATAATTTGCATTCTTAGGTATGTGTGTTTAGGAGTACAGCTGAAGAACTCTGTTGTATTTGAGTTTCAGCTGAGTTCTTTAAATTATCGTGTGCAAAGGAAAGAGCCTAAAACTAAAAATTTAAACCCTAGACAGTATGGCCAGTGATTATGAATGTTGGGAGTTCCAATTCAACAACATCTGGTGGGGTGCACAGTTCTCAACTCTGTGTAGCTGTTGTGGTGGGGTTTTAATACTACCACCAAACCCATAACTGGAAATATTGTATTATAAATATGGCATTGTAAATCAATATGACAGAGCAAAAACCTAAAAAAACAAATCAACTGACATATTCAGAATTAGATTTCTAACACCTTGATCCAGAGCATGCTTATTCTAAGGTGTTCCCCATTGAATTAAGAATAATCACTTCTAAATTAAACTGCATAAAATTGCTTCTCAATTTTACCCATGTTTACTTGCAAGCATGTCCACTGAATTAAAAAAAGACTGAGGTGAATTCAAGCTATCAGCAACCCCATTTTAAAGCCTGGCCTGAAATTATACTGCATGGTGTCAGCAGAGCACAGGATTCAGCATGATATGATCTTCCATCACCAGTGCATTGGTTCTATTTCATGGGTACTCATAGTAGTTCCCCATGGCCCTTGAGCCAAAGCAGCAGAATCAGGGTGGTTTAATAAAATATCAGGGATGGGGAGCATGTGATTGTACAGGTGTTAGACTGTAACTCCTAGCATCCCTCAGAATTGACTATGCTGGCTAGGTCTGATAGGAATAACAGTCAAGCATCATTAGAGGGGCATACATTGCCCATCCCTGAGTTGGAGCATTAATCTCTGGTATAGGAAATCCTGACACAATGGATGGCTTGCGCAAGTTACTGTGTATCAACCAGAGTTTTTAAAAGTTATTTCTGGGATAAGAATTCCAAGAATCCTGCAGCCAGCATGGTCAGTGCACATGTTGGCTAGGGGAATATGGGAGCCTTTGTCCAATGTGGTGTAGCAGTTTGGATGTTGGATTGCGACTTTGGAGATCAGTATCTGAATCCCTGCTTGGCCACGGAAACCCACTGGTGACCTTGGGCAAGTCAACTCTCTGTGACCAAATCTTGGCAAGAAAACCCATGAAGCGCACAACAACAATAGCATCCCAAAAAGTAACCTTTCCAGGAGGAACCTATTGCTTCCTCTAGGCAACAGCCTCATTACTTGGCCATATACATTATCTGACTCTCAGATATTTCCTCTGCTGTGAGGCTAAAGAATTACAGTTCTGTATATAATAATTCTTTGGGCCTATTTTGGTTTTCAGTTAAATACACATATCATGATTTCAGGAGGAGGGTGAATGCTTCACAGTCAAGACATGATTTGACGGGTTCCAAATTCAGTGTGAGCTGTATCTGAAGTGCATGTTGACATTTTTCACTTTCTTTATATACTATAGACCAGGGGTAGGCAACCTAAGGCCCGGGGGCTGGATGCGGCCCGCCAAGGCCTTTGGACCGGCCCCAGGCTGGTCCTGCTGCCGCCGCCGCTGCACGCCATGATGATATTGATTATTGTTGTTATTACTTGTTCTTGGGGTTTTTCTTGGCAAAATCTCCACAGGGGGTTTGCCATGGCTTTTCTGGGGCCAAGAGAGTGTGCATGCATATTTTTTAATTTTTTTTTAATTTGTAATTTTTATTTATTTATTTATTTATGGTGCTTCGGCCCCACCAATTGTCTGAGGGACAGCAACCCGTCCCCTGGCTCAAAAAGGTTGCCTACCCCTGCTATAGACCACTAAACACAGCCTGCCAATTCTTTACATTTACCATATGGATAGCTATGACATTGGCAGAAACTATGAAGTTTGTCCCACGAGGCTTATATTAATTGCATTCCAAGTGCACAACCAAGCTGTATAAAACTACTGGTGTGGATTTTCAGGTCCTGCTTTTCATAAACTCTGCCTAATTGGTCAAATTACCTGTTATGGCTACTAGGCAGAGCTTGGAAAAGCTGCTTGTTTGCACTGTTATTCCCAGAATCTCATTGACAGCACAGGGATTATGAAAGTTGTAGTTCAAAGCACTGGTATTAGGTTTAGTCAAGCCATAGTCATGTAGAAATAATGTTAGCCATCCAAGTCCTTTGCATAACATGATTCAATTGAAGGAAAGAAGTGGACCTTCCCATCCTAGGCAAGAACCACTGTTCACCATATTGAAGTCCAGTTTAATTTCTTGCTATTGTGACAATAGTATTTAGCAACCTAGAAGTCAATTTATAATAGATCAGACTTATACTACGTAGTCCATCTAGCTCACTGTTGTCTACACCAGGGATAGGGAAAACCAGGCCCTATAAATGTTGGACTCAGTGGCATCATTGAGGTGTGTGGACCATACTGGGTGACACCTAGAAGAAGGATGTTCCATCCCCAGGCTTCCTCTCCAGGGAGAAAGCCTGGTGATAGAGGAGCTCTTCCTACTCTGGGTGACACCATAGTTAGTGATGCCAGTGGTTGGACTACAACTCCCATCAGCCCTAGCTAGCACAGTCTGTGGTTATGTTTGCAGAAATAAATCCCCATAATAATATTTTTTTCTTTACATCAATGTGGGAATTTGACCAATTTACAGAATAGCTAACTGAAAGGACATTTACTTGAATTTTAGAACAATATTCAACACAATCTATTCTCACAGAATGAGTTTTACAAAAGTCCAAGGATGCATATGATAATATAAATTACAGTTTAGTGGAACAGTTGAAAATAGTAAAACAGCAGATATAAAATGATATT